AGGGCCATAACTCTAGAAGTAATAAACGGAAATTGGTGAAATTCAATAGGCTTCTCGTTTCCCTAATTTAAATATTGCATATAAATTTCACATAGATCGGATGATAACTTTTGGCATTAGAGCGTTCACAAGGTTCAACAAAGTGAAACAGGGGCCATAACTCTAGACGTTATAAACGGAAATTATGGAAATTAAATAGGCTTCTTCATCTCACTAATGTAAACAACATATATCAATTTTAAAACAATTGGATGATAACTTTTGGTATAGAACGTTCACAAGAAATTGTGGACGATGGACGGACGGACCGACGACAATAATGTGGGCGTATAAAAACAAATACAGTAATTTATTCAGGAATATTACTGACATAAATTTCAAGCCGGTACGTGAATTAAATATGGAAAATTTTCCGAACAATGTACCTATTTGACCTATTTGACGTTATTTTTGTGCTAATTACATACAGTAGGATACAATATTCCTCATAACAAATTAACAAGAATTATTTTTGTTGAAGTCTGGTTATATTAAAGGGAATGGGAGCTTAAAATTTTAAAACACAGTTCCTACTCGAACCTTATTTGACCCAATTCTGTCCGGTTCGTTTCAAAATGGATTAAGAACCCTGGACTCTACGTATTACCCAATAATCAACTAAATTGCACGGGAGCCCTCAATCAAGTGATTACGCGCTCTGAAAATGGGCGACAACTTGTCTATAGAGATTGACAGTGACTTTTTTGGGCGCCAGTCTAATGTACCGTCACACTAGATTATCGCACTGCCATTGTGAGTTTGACTTATGACCACGTGTACAGATGGAAGACTAGTTCATTCATTTGTGATTTAAAAAAGATACATTACCTGGGATGTGATTTACCGATTTCCAATTGTATAATTACCTGGGACGTGATTTACCGATTTTTGATGTATTACTAATATTCAATGGTGGAATACTAATTTAATAGGATACTGGATAATAAATAATACTACGACCACGGTAAGGTGATCATCTATGGGTGTGCATCATTTTATATTCACCTTTTTTATTCGTACTTCATATGTAAATGAACCGATCGGATAAACGGTTCATGGGAAATTAAAAGGTTTATCTAATAGTTCAACGCCGTAGATAAATTAAACGTGTGTTGATTATTCAACGTATCTCGGGAAAGTAAACGGCTCATCTAATAAGTAAACGCCTTAGATAAGTCAACCGTGCAGGGCTGCCGACAACCAGTATCGCAGCGCAATTTGAGATACATATTTTGTCCGTTGCTAATCAAAAATTAAAATCTAACGTTTTTGATTCGCAGTAACTGCGAATCATTAATATGCCTGTCATTTTCGATATTGACACAAAGATTTATCCACATTTCTCAACACTTTCAACGCGTATAAAATATCAAATAAATTTTATAAACAAAACGGAATTCTCCGTGTGCCATTTTCTTCTCGAACTACCCAGACTCAATTCATGATACTATATAATACAGGGACATAACTCTATGAATCGGAACTATTAAACCGGAAATAGGGAATCAAGTAGTACCACTCACGTTGCGAGACATGTCAATTTCGAGTAATTATATCAGTATTCAATTTGAAAAAAAAATAAATTCAGTGTATCCCCCACGTAATGTAAATAAAATATAAAAAATAAATACGTGTAAACGTATTGTAAAGTGAGAAATCAAAGTAAGAATTCCCGTAAACTATTATTGTTTATATCGCGTGCGTCTAGTTAATCGAGATTATTCGTAAAATACCGCGTGCTTCCGATTGAACAAAAATAATAACACACGATAAAAAGCAGACAAAATTGTTTTCTAACGAAGAAATAAGAAGCCACTGCCAAGAATTGGCTTCAGACATAAGGCCTAACAAAAGTCTACATTCATTCAGAAATGTTCACAGCTAGCTGTAGAAGTGCTAACATTCTAAAAAAATCTTAAGAATGAAATCTAATCATTTGCTATCAATTAAAATTAAAATAATCTTGTTATTTAGGTGTTTTATGTTGATTTGAAACTGAAAAACTGCTAATCAATTTTTAAATTTGCTAATCAAATTTGGCAAAATTGGACTTTTTGATTAGCAGTGCTGCTAATCATCTGTGAAAAATTACCGAAAGCCCTGCAACCGTGTGTTGATTTTTTAACGTATCTGGCGAAAGTAAACGGCTCGTCTAATAAGTAAACGGCTCGTCTAATAAGTAAACGCCGTAGATAAGTGAACGGGTCAAACGACCTCTCGGAGAAACTAAACCCGTTACCATTCAACTATGCCATAGTACTAACTAAACCATTTTTGTAATTCTTAAACGATTTTTGTCAATTATCGAAAGATGTTTTGAATGTAAACTATATGCATACTTTCCAGCGCCAAAAACCCTGTTCTAAACGATACCATATCTCCAGTGTTAACCAATACCCGTTATTTTTGAAATAATGGTGGGAAGATCATTATCAAATGGTCACTGCATATCTGACAAAAAGGCGATACTGTGTCCATCTGTATCTCAACATTTGAATCATTTTGTGAATTAAATTCGCCATGTGCTTCAATAGGCATGATCAGTTTCCGCAGTGACCTGGGAGTGGCCCAGTCGACATACCCATAAGCCGCTACCGCAATGAGATGGGAGACACTCCAAATGAAATTTATTTGATACTGGATGAATGTCACTAAAATATGTACAAAAGTGGATTTAGCTACCTTGAAAACTTATATTTTGACACCTAACCTGTAAAATTTGAATTTTCTCGCCAAAACTGACTGCCATAACCCCCAATATTGACTCAGCGGTAACACTTATCACAAGAATATGTATGGAAATGGATTCAGTTATCCTGAAAATGTATATTTTGACCCCAAATTCGATCATATTATGATAATTGGGTGGAAATTGCGCACAATTTATTAGCCAAAACCGGCGGCCATTTTGGATTTTGGCCAATTTGACCCATTTGGGACAGATTTTGGACTGGCATTAGCAACTGCCCGCACTTATGCTATCTTGCCTGGACTATATGCAAGATCTAGAGCAAGAGCTGGCCATTCTTGCTATAATAGTTTAAATGATATATTGAAAATTTCAAATTATTTTATTCTGAGCAAAATTATGAGTGAAGTTTTGACATGATAGTCTTGATTGTCAAGTACCATTACTAATACTACAAGCAAAGTCACATGTGCTATGAGTAAAATTTTGCCCGGGCAACGGCACCATCGCCTACTCTTATATCGAATTCCAACTGCCAAGAGATCTTTTACGTGCATTCCAATGTATACACGGGACCTCGGATTTTCGTATCATCCGAAGGACAAGACAGCTGTCCTTGTCAGGCCCTCTGTTGAGTATATCCAAATATAAAAAGATAAAATACATCTATAATTACCTGCATATCTTCATTTTCTAAATAATTACCATATATAAATGCCCCTCTTTTAGAAGCATGTCCATGTAAATCAACATAAAATGCTACACCACTGTCACTAGGTGATATAGATAAAAGTTGTGGATTACACAGATGTGCAGCATTAATATTACTTGATGGCACACTATCTTCATCTTCTGACCCTTCATTACCTATATTTTCATTATCATTGTTACCATCGGAATCTGATAATTTATCTGTGTAAGCACTATCACCTCTATAATCTTCTGACATAGTTAATTCAGATAATCTTAATCTTAACTCACTGTTCACTTTTCTCACATCCCCTTTAGCAGCATCAAAGTTACTTAATATGCTGGTACAAGAGGAAGACACTCTAGATGTAGGTTTATTATTTAAAGTATCGGGTGCTAAACCGTAGTCACTAACAGATGAATCTGTACCATCTAAATCGGCTAGATTAAGGCGTTCAACTATTTGATAAGAAGATGAAGTAATTATATTAGAGTGATTAGTATTATAAGTAAGATTTGTGTCTTTAGTCTTTGTTTGTGATGAAGAACACGGTGAGAGAATGATGACAGCATTGGCAATCTCTTCTGGCATACTGATTTCAGAACCATGTGAAGAACAAGCACTTCTTGCTTTCAACGTTCGAGAACTGGATTGAGGACTTTGATTAGATGAAACTTCATTTGTAGGAAAGCCGACAGATATATTATGGGTGTTGCCTTCTCTAATAGTTCTATTATAAACATGATGATAGACCAACAGACTTTTAGCAGCATAAATAGATGGATGTAACACAGGGCTTGGATCAAGATAAACACGGTTCAAATTTACTCCGCGTGAATCTGTTCTGTAATGGCCTCGCATTACACCATCAGGATTTAACAATGGAATAAGTTTAAACACATATTGTCTTCGTAACTGTTGAGCACGTGGATCATTCTCTCTCAACAAAAACTCTAAAAATCCATTATACACAAAACTAGCTGGTGTTTCTCCTGGATGTACACGACTACTCAACAAATACACCTGACAACAAATAAGGGTTTAATACAAAAAACATCTCTATAGATTAATACAAACAAATAATAGACAGACCTTCCACATCAGGATCCTTAACTCTTTCTGGTCTATACTAACTATAGTATGGTTAATAAATAAAATAAAATAAAATAAAACCAAGTACGAACAATCCAAACCATAAGACAGAATTCGAAGACCTAAAAAACGTGTATCCAAGTAAAATAAGAGTAATCAGCAAATGGACTGCTCCTCGTGTACAAAATACACGACAAACAGTGGTAACAGGTGTCCGGAAGAGTAAGCTTACCCTGCCTGGCGCCACACCCGCCATAGCTGCATCCAAACTATTAGGCGAAATGTTTGTAAAATAGCGTGATTGGCCAATGAACTATTGGTATACTTTACTGATTTTACTACAATCAAATAGAACATTGTTTAATCAAGACTGGTTAACCCAAGTTAACGTGCAGAAAAGTCTTAGTATTCCAATGCTATTTTTATAATTATAAAGGTTGAAAATCGGAAAACCAATGACTTTCTTCCAACAAAAGCAATGGAGCTGTGACTCCTAGTATAAGGGTCTGGATATAATGTAGGTATGATCAGCCAAAATTGACAATTGATTGAAAACGCAGTGTACGGATATTAGTTACATACTTTCTTTCCTTTGAATTTTCTACATCGTGGGTTATCTCTGTCTGGAAATAAATGTTTATCAAAACATGGCTCACTTTCCTCCATCATACCATGACAAGATGATATAGTAATCAGATCAACACGTAATTTATCTAGAGATAAACATAGTAATTCTCTGTGATAATATAATGAATCTGGAGCTCTAAAAAAGACAAAAAATAACATACATTAAACACATCATTAGTCAAACTTAAAATAACTAGACTTCTTTGCTCTGGTTATGTTTCAATATGATTTATTTATTAACTATACCATTCAAAGTGACAAAATTATCGCTTGCAGAAGATCATACTGTAGGCAATAAATTGATATTAGTATTGTTGTTCATGTAATTTATAATAATAAAATATTTGTTTACGTGTCACGCTCCAATCTGATTAAAATACAGATCTATATTTCGTTTCATTTTTTTTTTTTTATACTTTCGATGGCCTACACTACATGAAGATCTGACCAGTTGTACTGGAAGGTCGCGTCAGGGGTCGTACGAGTGGCTTTTGACCATATGACGTCAGACATTGATTAATCAGTCCGCATTGACGTTTCTAGTAGTTTACTCACAGTTCCGTACATGGCACGCCAAGAAGTTGATGTAACTGATGGTAACAAAACGAAATAGGATCTGTGTTTTAATCACGCTCATGATCTTTTAATGTTTTATTTTCATTGAGCTTTCTACAATTTTTCTAATAAAGTCGCATAAAACATCCAGCCCATTTGCTCTAGCGAAGAACTAAAATACTTGTTAATTAGCTTGACTAGAGGAATAACACTTAAACTAAGGAAAAGTAGATCATCTTATTCTGCAAAACATAACAAACACATGACAATTTTCATTTACTAATGATAAATGAAACCAGGCTAGAATTTGCTATATTTAAATTTAAATGGCTTTAATCAACTTACGTATTGCTATTAAAATCTTTACAATGATTAAATTTTGTGTCTAATTCATTCATCTGATTTTGACATTCTGTATAAGACCAAGGAAAGCAGAAAGCAAAATAAGTTGTTGCTCCTTTAGTTTCAGAAAATCGATATGTAAACGATACAATAAACTGTCCATCTATCACCTGAAAACAGATCAATATAATTATAAAATTAAGGATGTGTCAAATGGTTAATAACTGCATCTGAGCTCATAATATAATTAACCAACTGTCACAGTGCCACCAGTGGAGCAGGAGGGCTGGGTATGCACAATCCTTTTCCCCCTGTAAGCTGTAATTATCATCTGAGTATCATTATTATAACAAATGATATATGAACAAATTCTTTCAGTTATGTTTAGTGGATGTCAAAGCTTGAAGAAATGTAGACACGACTTGCACATGTTTTGCCACGAACTAGAAATATGACTGTAGATTGTAATTTGTACCTTCATTTCTTTCATAAATAAATATAGATATTGAAAATTTATTTTTTAAAAACCTGTGTTAACGTGTGAAATTAAAACACAGACAATTACAAATAAATGAAATTTTTTATTAACATTATCTATGTTTACAATTTCTATAACACAGCAATGACAAGTTGACAAGATATATGTGACCCACCGCATGTAAATGAGTCGGAATGCGATAAAATTAATTTTGCACAAGAGACAAAATAAGCGAAAATATTGATTTTGATCGAAATTGAGATTTTCACAAATATGAGTATATAAATATACTATCTATCAACTCAAAAGATCAAAATAGCAATAAAACATTTTAAAACGCCTTTATTTGAACGTTTTGTAAGAGTACTGTATTCTTAAATCTGTCTTTTTCTGAATATTCTCAGCTGAATTAGATATTTTTCTCTGCTCGCAGCGGGGCGACTTGTCAATCCTCTTGCAAAATGCTTGGCATCGTTGTAAAGCAGAGAATCTCTAGTTTATAAATATGACCAAAGTATTGCCGATGAATTCATTTTGAAGAAATACAAAAGGGTTTTAAAACCCCTAAAAATGTAAACATACTCCGCTTGTTGCTATGCTTCCAACACGACTCGTTTGCTGATTGGCCCAGACGACGCGTGCAAAGCATTGTGGTTCCGTGGCCGCATCGAGGCTCAAGCAGATGATAGAAATTAGATTTGGGCAATGTTATGGTGTATCTACATGCGATTCACTCTGAGAAGTGGCAGAAAACATCTGTTGCTGTTGTTTATTAAAGATTCAACGTTCAATACAATGAATGTGATATTATGGACAGGTTGATTTAATTAACCCTTTCATTGCGTATACCCGGTAGTACCGGGTATTATAAAATGTCGGTAAAATGTGTGTACCCGGTATTACCGTGTACTCAGTAAAGCCCTCGCTAAAATTAGTAACATAACTGCAAGTGCCATCTATTGTATTTTCTATACACTAGAACATATTTCCACGTGTTTCAAAGCGGCAAACCGTAAAATGGCGGAGTGCATAGTGACAACGTAGATGATACACTCTCGACGAAGTCGTGAATGACGTCTTGCTGACCAACACGTGGACAATTTCGAGGCGGGTGATACACATAATTCGTTTCCAGTTACTTGATAATGATAGTAGTCAGGACAGTGATTGGTATTATGAAGTGTGTGATTTGTTGCGCGACGTTCCGCCCATGGCTAGCTATGTCTCCCATGCATGATGAACAAGCCCAATGTGAACACGATAGCCCTGTGTCTGCAGTAGATTCTGACAATAATTCTGATGTTGATAATAATGCTGGCCTGCTGGATCGTAAAAGACGTAGGCAATTCCTGAGTCCCGAACGTGTAGATCTATTGACTGACTATATCGATAATGATATGGGACTTGGGGATGAAAGTGAAAGTGAAAGTAAAAACAAGGTATTGCAATCCGCATGTGGTCATGGCAGCGGGAGACGTGATGCGCGTGTTTGTGGCGGCATTGCTCATGGCTGCTATTGATATTTCTGTTCATTTTATATAGGCGGAGGACTGGGAAGTCCTAACTAGCTTAGTTTTCAAAACTCACCGCTGTGGAAAGTTTTAATATTTATTTCTCGAGAAATAAGCCTAATGTGTTGTAAACAAAACTGCCACACTCCAATTTATGTGCCAGAAACGTTTTAAACAAATAATCTAAACGACAGCATTTTTTGTCCTCGCAATGAAAATCTAGTAAATAGCGAAAAACAGTAAATACACGTGACCTTAAGGAGAATTTAATCGATCACAGTCGTTGTTTTCCTATAATATAATTAGGTCGATTTTTTTGAGCCAAACTCATTGTAAATTATATTTCTAATGAAAAGAAAGTGCGCGCTATTAATACTGGTATTTACCGGTGTCGGCTAACATGTAATAAGTGCATAAATGTGAAAGATTTAGGTCAGCAATGACTCATTGGGTAGAGTGTCCAACTGACAGCTGCTCACCACTTGGCGATTATGTGCCGTGTTTTCGGACCCTCCACCCCATCAGACGGACAGTTTTCCCCGATGCCAGACAAGCTTTACCCCTCTTACCCCCGTGAAGCCACTGTCGGTAATACCGGACGGGCTTGTCCTCTCTCAACAAATTCTTAGCTGTTTGTAGCCTGTGTAAATGTGATGAATCAATTTATTATTCTTAAGAAAGTATACGACACTGTGGAATTAATTTTTGCATGCATCGTGTTTAACGTCCCACCACAGCTCCGAGTATTAAGATAATTTGAGAAGGGTTGGAAATGTTGTTTGATAGCAATGATATACGCCTATATATAATCAAATATAAATATAGATAATTGCCAAATATCAAAATCAATCAAGGTGTGTGAAGCTATATTTTATTAGAGGCTCTCTTCCTACTGTATTTGTCTTTGCGTGTGTAGACATACATACTTTGCATTATCGAGTTCACCCTGATATTAACTGGTTAGAATAGATCCCCTAAGCCCACCCTTCCTCATCCCATATAATATAACTATGCATAAATCAAATGCAAGGCCCAGCCCCCCCCCCCCCTAATAACTGGCTAAAATGTCCCTTGTTTGTCCATTCCCCTACTTTAAAAAATATATATATAGACTACTTGGTCTTGCTCAAAGGAGCGGTCTATGGGAGTTTTAAAAATAAATTATTTTTTTTAACTTTATTTATTAAAGATAATTGGATTATAGAGCAGGCAAGCCCACTCTCCAAAAAAAAAAAAATACAAACAGATATAAATATTACAATCAAAACATAATGAAATTACAATAATAAATCAAATACACAAATATACACATATATATATATTACATACACTCACACACTCATGTACACACTACACATACACTAATTTATTGATAATTAACAACTGAGAAAAAATGTACCATAATAGACTAAAATAAATATGTATGCTGCACATGTCTGATATATAAAGAAATAGTTAAGATTTTTAAAACATGTAGTTCAAAAATTAAACATTAAATATTACTGTAATTACTTTAATTGACAAAAGTTCTGATTTTAATGAAAATGAATATGGAAAAAACAGTATGTACAAGCTCTGTTGATAAGATATGAATTTATAGGCTTGAATCAGCATACAATAGGTATGTAAAAACATATATACAAAGTCATTTTAAAATTTAATAAAACATGTTGATTTTGATTTTATAATTATACTAAATCATTCATGGACTAAAGTGTACAAAATATGCATAATGAATTTGTTATGGTTAATATATGTTATAGCGAGTTCAATGATAGGTTCAATATTAACAAAGATTACTTGAATTGTAAAACTGTTCAAAATTTAAACTCGACTAATCATACAGATTTAAAACATTAGTTTTACTATAAAATAAAACAAAATTATAATCTGATGGAATAACTTGATTTTAAAAATATCAGAAATCAAGATAAAAAAAATCACTAAACTTCAGCCGATCATAAGGGACAGACACAAAAAAAATCCCTGATGTAAGAGTTATAAACTATGTGAGAATGTAGCATTCAATTGAGGATAAAATCCATGCTCCCATATATTGCTTTAATTTTAGTAATGCCAGGTTAAAGGTGTACAAAGAATTGGGGATAGAAAATCATTTTAAAGAAAAGGAAAAAATAATAATACTTTTTAAACAGATATTTGTTGATGTAATAATGAAAATATATATATTTATTTTTTTTTATTGAGAATGTATTGATTATTATTATAGTTTTTACATTCAACATTCTTCTTCATCATCATGATCATCATCATTATCATCAATAGCCATCTCTGTGGGTGTAGGTGTGGAATTTTGACAGTCTTTACATCCACATAGATCTGTAAAGGAAAGAGCAGCAACTTTACACGAACATCTACAATTAATACAATTGTGTGATAGATTAAATTATCTTTGCTCAATTAACAATATATTACCAGTAATATAGTAACTTAGCTCAGACTTCCTGGGTGAATATTAATTTCTAAACTATAATTCTTGCACGATATTTATACCGGTACTAGAATATATCGCCTAAAACTACGAAGCCCAATTAACCGGCCCACTAGATCCCTACATCTAAATTTTTTTGGAGCAATGCAATCTCTAAATGAAATCAAAATCTAAAATTGCTCATTTAAATAGCATTTCCGCCTGTAGGATCAATAATCTTTGCAGATCTTTTCACGGCTTAGACTAATTGCCTTTGACTTTTCTGTAAGGGCTATTCCAAACTATGCTCCCACAAGACGGCAGGTTTTGTTTTAGACCAATCACCGACGGAATATAAATTTGACAAAGTTCCATGGAACCTGACTAAAATGATTCTAAGAATGTAATTTTAAATATTATGTGCTGTACTCCATATTTCTAATATTACTTTATTGAAAATGATATTTCATAAACCTTGACATTGTAATTAATGACTAATGTAATTTGTTAGTTATGTTTCATAAAAATGTTTTGCCCTTCACCAGTTTAGGCTTCGGTTTTGTTTTAAAACTTGAAAGTTTGCCCACCACTGCAAGTACTTTATATATTTCTTAACAACAACCAACGTGAACACTCACAGCCTAGAAAAAATTTAAATACTAAGACTAAGAAAATAATAATAATAAAGTAACTAATAATAACATACAAAACATACCTTCGAACACATCTCGATACGTGATTGCAATGTTT